TTCCTGACCTACATGAATGTGGCTGAGCATGATATTTCACCCTCACATTTTTCAAGTAATTCCTCAATTGCAACCTAGAAAAAAGTTAGGTTAGAATGACCTGCTATGTACAAATTTATATACTTTGTTGAATCTTTTCAAAGCTACACGTTTCGATGGCTAGATGGGATAGAAAGCAGATTAAATATGTACCTTACATTTGTATTTCTGTATGATATGGTGAAGTTGTTGTATATGCTCCCCCTTCCCATTTGCCACACTTGTTAACCTTATCTACAAAGGAGCACTCCTCCATTATGGAAGAATTACTACTTTCACTTGAGAAGAAGGGCAATGAGAAGTAACTGTGATCCATTGCCACAGAAGAATGAGAGCAGCAGAAAGATATTTGAAGTCTTGTGCCATTGAGCTACAGTATTTTGGAGAAATACTTTGCATGCTGTGATAGTTATTTGCTGTGGATAAAGTTTTCCCCAAGAGCCTCTGTAATTTGTGGGCTTCCCAAATGGGAGTTGGTGGGGGGGAAGGAAGTAAGCAGGCCTCCTTGGAGCTGAACTGGCACTAAGGTGACATTTCTGCCAACGGAAAGTCAGAATCACGGCAGCCTTCTGTGGCAGTCTTGGTAGTCCAATTCCTGAGACAGGAGGGTCCGCAGTACTCCAGGGCACTGCTGATGACAACCCAGTCTATTCATGGACAGGACCTGGAAGGGCAGACCAGTCACTGGGTTGAAATGTTAAGCAGAGATCCTGTCTGCATGCCTCAGGTAAAGATCCCATGGTATTATTTGAAAAAGAAAGGGAGTTTCTCCAGGTATGCTGGCCAACAATCCCCCAAATAATATTGTTCATTCACTCCCTAACTGGCTGTTTATGAACATGGATGTGTGCAAATTGAATTCTGCATTCGACTGAAAAATATGCAGTCACTGCACTTTACCGTAAATCCTGTGAAGTGCTTTGAATCATCTTCCTGAAATAACGGGTGCTATGTCAAATAATACAAAATACAATACAAATGGGATCAAAGAGGGTGGAGGGCAGGGAGGGTAATCGGAGATGAGGGTCTTGAGAGGTGCCTTGAAGGAGACAAGGGAGGGAGTGAGGTGAAGAGAATGGCTTATGGCATTCCAAAGGGTGGGTGCAGAGAGGCTGAAGGCCAAACCGCTGCTGGTAGGTCAGGGCGGAGGTGGACGGGGGCGTAGAACAGGCCAGAGCCTGCTGGGCGGAGGGAGTGAACAGGTTGATATGGGGTTAGCAGGTCAAAGAGATAGGAAGGAGCAAGGCCTTGGAGGGCCTTGAAGACGAGGATGAGGATTTTCAATTCTATGAACTCTCTTTCAACTCTATGAGCCAGTGGAGCTGAGCGAGGGTAGGGGTGATAGGGTCATAGCCGGTACAGGAGAGGATACAAGGTGCAGAGTTCTGGAAGATCTGCAGCTTGTGGAGGGAAGAATTGGGAAGGCCGACAAACGGAGTTGGCGTAGTCGAGGCTAGATGTGTTGAATGCATGAATAAGGGTTTTGTTGGCCTGAGGAGTGAGGTAGTGGCGGAGCCGGGCGATGTTGCGGAGGTGGGGGAAGACAGAATGGGTCATGGCACAAATATGGGGTAGAAAGGACAGTCGTGGGTCAAACGAGACACCAAGGTTCCAGACTGGCTCAGTGAGGTGGAGTGTGCGTCCCTGGATGGTGGTGCTGCCAGTGCCTGAGGTGTGGAAATAAAGAGTAGATCAGCCCACTTCCTCTTTGGTGAAGGGTTGAGGCTATATTATGCCAATATTAAATATCTTGTCATTAACTAGGAAAGATTTCAGAAATATATACAATTTGGAAGGTTTTGGTCCTCAGGTTTCCTTCCTTGGAATCAAACTTATTTGTATTTGTAACATAGAATTTGTTGCTAGAGTACTTAAAAGTTGAATAACCTTGAGTTACTAAAAAGTAAATGCTAATTTCCTTGGTGTTGAGACCAATATATTCCAAAGCTGTTTGAAGCATCCAAAACTTTTTTTTGATTAGAATAACAACCACTTTCATGATTTTGCTTGTGGATAGAAAGATGTTAATGAGCTTCTGCCTCGAAGCACATAACAATAAACTAGCAACTACCAAGGCAATTGAGGAAAGGATGCCATGTCTAATACGCTATGCTATTACAATATTACAAATTTTAAAGTTTTGTACTGTTTGTTTTTGCTTTGTGAGCAAAATAATGTTAATAATCAAAATTACAGGAAATAAGGAGTTAATAAACTACCATTTCATCCATAGATAATCAATTTGTACTGAATGCACAACAGTAGCTACATTTAGAGTTCATTGGTTAGTAGTCAGGCACTAAATGGCAGGCTGATGAATTTGAAACATAAAACATTTGCATACCAATAAAAATGCTGTCATTCCCAAAGGAAATTCAGCAGGCAGTAAACACTAGGGTGCATATCAATTTGGGGTGAATTTTGAGCAGGCACAGACCACAAACACACACACTTATTCAGTGAAGTCTTCATTAGTTCACTGAAGGCATATCATCTCATCCCTATTAATCGATTCTTATTCCCATTGTTTGGACACAGTTGGAGCTGTAAAGCTCTATTATTGTCGCATTTGAGAGCATCTAACAATGTCCTGGAGCTTTGAGTTCTCATCAATAAATAAAAGTGTTTAATGTTGTTGATGAACTCGGCTATTCTATGATCAGCGTGCATGTCAGCCTTTTTTTTATTATGTAAAGCAGAAATGTTCTTTAAAGGTCTTCAATAAGGATGGTTGTCAAGGATATCAATTAACTAAGATAAACACTTTGCCTTGTATTCTCAGATGCTTCTTGAAAGCACCGCTGTGGTAACCATGCTCTGGCACCATAATATAGGATTGGCAGCATTCCATTCCTATAAAACACTGTGAAGTTCAGCAATTTGTATGGCATTCTGGGCCCAAGTCCCAGTTTATATCTAACAAATTTAAAGAAAAACGCAAAGGGGGTCGATGAAGATGTAATTCTTCAGTAGTTTGTACATCAATGAAAATATCTGACCTCTTTACATCAAAATTGTTCAGAATGTTAACAACCAAATGCCTGTGAAGACCAATAAACCTGATTACAGTTTGCTTCTTTCTATTTCATATAGGTAAAACGCTGACTTTTTAACCTCTTTCCCTGAGTTCCTATTCCTATGTGGAGTCCTGTAGCGCAGTGGTTAGAGCACTCGCCTTGCAAGCGAGACACGTGGGTTCAATTCCAGGCAGAGGGCGAAACATTGGGCAAGTTTCCTTACACCACACGCCTAATAATAATCCCTCCAAAACAAAACAATAATAAATTGGTCATTTTCAATCCACAACTGTTTGTGGGACATTGCTGTGCACAATTGGCTGCTCTGCGTTTCACCCACAAACATACAGTTAATTCACTTTACAGTCTACTTCTGTGAAGCGCTTTGAGACATCGCGAAGACGTGAAAAGTGCTATGTCAAATGCAAGGATTATTATTATTAAATAATTTATTTATGAAATACTTACTTATGGTAATTATTGTAAATACTGTAGTTCCCTCAGAAAACAATAACATGTGGCATGTAATTGACTGTGAAGCGCTTTGAGATGTTTTAATGCTACAAAAATGAAAATAAAAACAAAGTTAGTATTCTAGTAAATAGAGATCCATGTTTAGCCGTAATACATTTTTCAAAGATTCCTAAGACCAGGTAAATGATGAAAAGGTGGGAGGGCAGTTTTTTTAAAATGCAGTACCTTATTATGAGTTATATTATTTCAAGCTGAAGATTGAGTTTTCAGTCACCCCGTAATTAATTATTGTCACTATCCATAGCGTGTTCACTTGTGTAAAGTTTAGTTTTATGGTCCCGATAAAAGCCTCTCTAATCTGCTTTATACAATTTATTTGTACTATAGTTCAGTACAATGCCACCCTTTCATAATTTATACCCTTTATAATAATGATGCTTTTTGTTAATGACTGAACTGTCGAACAGGTAAGGGGACATGTAAATAGGAAGAGCTGTTTTTTTATTTAACAGTAAGAAATTATATTGTTGAAATGTGTATGAAAATGACTATTTAGCCATCTACATATTGGACTACAATGTGTGGAGAGCCAGCCCCAAGCTGCAACTAGATAATCCCTTACACATGCGAAAATGGCAAGAATAGCAAGAGTAATCTTACCATTCTCTCTGTACTCAAATACATTTCTCATAGATGGACACTATAATCTCGATGAATAAAGGTACACTGTTGATATAATGCCTAAATAGCCAAATAAGTATTTTACAGCATTTTATTTTTATTTTGAAATGTTTTAAACACTTGCCTTTATGATTTCTTTTTATTTCATTAGTTCTTTTTCTGTAGATCTTTATTTTCTATCCGTTGTATTTTATTTTTATTCTATTTTCTCTTTTCTCTACGCCTTTTTCTTGCCTCTTTTACTGATGCTGTTTTCTTTCAGAGGGTTTCTGGGAGCTGTCTCTTTCAGCTGTTTTTATAACATGACCAAGTGACCATATTAAAATAACTCTACCCTGTAGTAGTCCTAAGAAAATTCTCTCTGCTTCAGCACAGCAACCGGAATCCAGTCACAAAAATAGAGAAGGCTGCTTCCCTCCTTTTCAGTGGGATGTGGCTGATATCGGTACAAATAGGATTCCCAACATCTCTCATGATCTGAGACTTTGACCATTGTGTTAACATGCACAACTTTTCAAAATTTACTAAATTCAGACTTAATTTGGAAGTTATTTTTCTACACTGTGGAACAATGGCTTCCAAATTAAGAATGATATTTTTCTTAAAATTCTGTATGATCTTACATATTAACACAATGATCAGGGTAAGAGTGCTGAAAATAATGCAACAGACTTACCAAATGTAAAGGAATATGGATACATTAGGAAGGGAGATGGGTGGACAAATGGCAAGTGCAATTTAATGTGGATAAATGCAGAGTATTTATTTATGTACTTCATTTATGTGCAGGACACGACACAGGAGAGGCCTTTTTGATATTTTTTTGGAAAGATCATTGAAACCATCACAGTGCGGATAGGAAAAAAGTAGTATATAGCTAAAAGGATAAAGCATAAGTCACAGAAAGTGCTGCTGAATTTCTACACAACTGATTGCTACATCACGGCAATAACTAACACAGACCAGGAATCGAACTGGAATCTTCACAATCTTGATAACTCAACTCACCAGATAACTGGTTGAGGTAGGATACAGTCCTTTTTCAAAGGTGAGTTCTTTTTGTTACAATGTTAAGTTCTTCACCTGGGAGTTTATTCCTCGCGTCCACAATTTTACTCGAATTGTTTATTATGTACCCCTCTAATTCGGCTCTCACACTCCAAGTTAATTAAGAAACAATGAACCTAGGCTATAGTAATGGAGTACAGGACAGTTACAGTAAAACATGTGATCCAAATTGGTCATAAAAATAAACAGGAATTCATTGTTCTGAAAGAAATGGACCTTGCCCATTTTTAAAGGTATTGATCAGCACAGCAGTACTGCTGTGTCTGAGAGTTTATTCCTTCTTTAGCCATGAGCCGTTTGGATTAGAAATGTTTTACTGTCGTTTGATTCAGAAAGGAACCACAGTCATTAAATGATTTTACTATGGAGAAGAATCAAATCTGCACCCTGGAGATCCATAACAAAATCATGTTCACCAACTCTCCAGTGGTTCACATATCTAAGTCACGACAGCTGCTAAAGTGAACTGAAGTAAATTAACTGTTTCCAAGTGAAAGCAAACATACATAGCTATTTTATGCATGGGCTCACGTGGCATTTGCCATTGGCTGTCCAGCAGCAGCCACACTGACTGCTCCATTCCCCACTATCACCGCAAGCCTCGCCAGACCAAGATCCCGTGGGCTAACCTCTCCTCCCTCATCCACATTCCCACCCTCCCTGCCAATCCTCCCACCACTCCCTCCCATGTCAAACATTCCTCTGCCAACTGTCCTCTCTGCATCGGCCTACAAAATGTCCATTCCCTTTCTAACAAGGCTCTCTCCATCAACGACATCATCAGTGATGAAAACATCGATATCCCGGCACTCACTGAAACCTAGATCACCCCAGGCCACACCTTCCCCCTGACTGAGGACACACTACCAGGCTATACCTTCCACCATACTCTACGTCTTAACCACCGTGGCGGTGGTGTGACTCATCTCCAGTTACTCACTTGCTCTATCCCACTACTCCTCCAGCTGATTCCCCTCCTTTGAGCACCTTACCCTCTACCATTCCTCCAATGTTTCCTTCAAAATTCTTCTGATTTATTGTCCCCTCAAACCCACCAACTTCATCTCTGAATTTCCACCCTCCTAGCTTCCCTCTGCCTCTGTCCTGAACACCTCCTTATCCTAGGCGACTTCAACCTGCACTTCAACCCTTCTTGCTCTATCTCCACTAACTTCTCCTTTCCTCTCACAACCGCTCTCTCCACATCCATTCTGCCACCCATGTTCATGGTTGCCCATTCAACCTGGTGATTATCTGGGCCTCAGTGTCACCGATAAAGTCATCTCAGATCACCATTTCATCTCCCTTAACACCTCAATCCGTCTCCCCATCGCCACCCAATCCACCTCCATCTCCTACCGCCCCTGAAAAAGAATCTCCCCGCACTCCATCTCCACTGCCATGGAATTGTCTGAATTCCTCCCCCTCTGGCCTACCTCCTGCACCGACTTATCCTCCTTGGTCACTCTCCTCCACAACTCCCTCTCCACCATTTCTCAATGCCCTTTTCCCCCTCACCTGCTGAACCACCTCATACTAACACAACTCAACAGGAACAGCCACCTCTGCTCACTCAAGGGTCAGATGCATGCCGCTGAATGCACCTGGCTCAAATCTGATTTAACAGTCCACCGGCAGATCTGACTGGACCACATAAAAACTTACCAGTCCGTCCTCGCCTCCACTAAATTGTCCTTCTATTCCAAAGTAATCTTGGAGGCCAAGGACAACCCCAGACTTCAATTCTCCACCACCAACTGGCTACTCCATCCACCCTCTCACACCTCACCCATCCTCTCCCTGTCAACTGGCACCATTCCCACCCTCCTAAAAATAGCTGTCATCACTCCTAAAGAAAATTCCTGGACCCATCCCTGCTCACTAACTACCACCCCATCTCCAACCTCCCTTTCCTTTCTAAGATCCTTGAAAGAGTTGTTGCTTCCCAGCTTCACTCCTTCCTCTCCTGCCACTCCCTTTATGATACCCTCAAATCGGGTTTCCGTGCTGCCCACGGCACAGAAACTGCTCTGGTCAATGTGACAAATGATATTCGGTTTATCCATGACCAAGACTCCCTCTGTCTCCTCATCCTCCTTGACCTCTCTGCTGCCTTTGATACTGGGGACCACTCTATCCTCCTCCACTGCCTCTCCCCTCACCTCAACATGTAGGCTGATGACACCCAACTCTATCTCTTTGCCTCCACCCTCAACACCAGGGCAATTGCTGTCCGGACAGACTACCTGTCGACATCAAGTGCTGGATGAGAGCTAACTTTCTCCAGTTGAATGTCAACAAGACCAAGATCCTTGGCATCCTGTTCGAACCTTAACTGCCCTTCATCCCTCACATCTGAGCCATGACCCGCTCCGCATTTCCCCACCTCTGCAACATTGCCCAGCTCCACCACTGTCCCTCACCGCAAGCACACATTCATCACATCCAGGCTTGACTACACCAACTCCCTGATTGTTGGCCTCCCCAACTCCTTCCTCCAAAGGTTGCAGATCATCCAGAACTCTGCAAACTGCGTCCTCTCCCTCTCCAGGCTCTGCGACCCTATCATCCTCATTCTCGCCCAACTCCACTGGTTCTCCATCACTCAGAAGAAACAGTTTAAGATCCTGGTCCTCACCTTCAAAGCCCTCCACGCCCCACCTGGTGATTATCTGGGCCTCAGTGTCACCCACTGGAACTCCATCCAACAGTCCCTCTGTTTCACCCCATCCCTTGCCTCCTTCGAGACCCATCTCAAGACCCTCCTCTTCAACCACGCCTAGTCACCCTCCTACCCCTATCCTTCCCGCCCTCCACCTCTCCTGATGCCAACCACCAGTTCGGGTGCAGATCCCTGACTGTCCAGCGTTTTGGGATGTCTTCCTGACGTGAAAGGCACTAAACAAATGTAATTGTTGTTATATTACACAGAGCATCATTTGAGGCATTCACATATCGCAGTGTACTTTTGGTTATAAATGAAACTTGGTAGAGCAGACTTGCGGAAGCCAAAGCAACTGGTAACATTCAACCAATTCAAAAGGGCTACTTTTATGATGTAATTTGATCGTATGGAACCTAGTATAATATTGAACATAGAAAACCAAAGAATCCTGTTTTGACCATGATTCCATATGCCATGAGTCTCCTATGTCTAAATATATAACTTGTGTAATCATTTGCTTATTGCTCATATCTATAACACTAGACATCATCCTTGGTGCTCTCTTCTGCATTAACATTTTTACAGTTATACCAGAAATTGTTTCAGAATCCTGGAAAAAAGAAGGCTTTGGAATTTTGCTTTGATTTTAGCATCTATGGTGCTGTTTTATTCTCCAAATTATTAATTAATTCTACAAATCCTAAATTAAAATGTTCATCCCATAATTCACCTCATTTTCCCAGGCTGGAAGGGGAAATTCATATAAACTTTAGTATCGAAAGATCTCTATTGAAAATAGCACCTGTGTGATCAACAACAATAACTTGCATTTATATAGTGATTTCATGCAGGGTAGTGTCTAGGAGCACTTAACAATGGTGGACTTTGACGCCGAGCCGGGGAGAAAGTGGAGGCAACCATAGGCATGGTCAAAGGGAAAAGTCTCCAGGTGAGATCTGAAGACACAAATTGAGGGGGAAAGGCGGAGGGATTGAGACAGAGAGTTTCAAGCCGAAAGCATAGCCACCATTAACGGAATGGAGGGAACGATGAACATGCAGAAGACCGGAGCCAGCTGAGCAAAGGGGGTGAATAGAGGAGTTGTATGCAAGCAGATTGGAGAGTGGAGAGGTAGGGACGAACCAGGGCGTGAAGTGATTTGTACTTGAGTAAGTTTGAGGATCTTGAAATTGATCTGTACTGCAACAAATAGCCAGTGGTGCCGGGGCTTTAATTAATTGGATTTAATGAACGGTGAAGCTGAGGAGACTGGTGAGGAGGGCAATGGAAAAATAAAGCCAGGAGATGATGAACGAGTTTCAGTTGTATTGAGTGTGAGGTATAAGGTGTGAGGTGTAATCATCAAGTAAAGAAAGGATTTAATTGGGCAGCGATGCTTCCCATGTTTGAATAGGCTTACACATGAATAATTATTGTTTAAGTGAAGGTTGCCAATGGTTGTGGATCTGCACTCAAGCATGATCCGTTCTTGCCAGAATAGGAGGAAGAGTAGGAAAGAAATGTGGGAGGAAATAGGAAAATATATTTGAAAGTAATAAAATAAACATTGAAGTCGGAGGAAAGCTGCAGTATCATAAACAGCAATAACAATTAAGTTTGTTTTTCATTCATTCAATGAATAGATTGGGAAATAGTCACCTGAGATAAGAAAGAACTTTATTCTACAAGGAAAATGTCTCATGTTAATTGCAATTCTTCTTCTATTGTGTCAAATGTAGCTGAAGTGAATTGTTAGCCAAATATTAGCATAAGCAAATTGCAGTCCTTCCAGAAAACAAATTACTAAGAAGGAATGCTTTATCTCAGATCTACTTAAAGAGCCCTGAAGAGCCCTAATATTATTATTGTTATTATAAGCGTACCTTCTTCCAACTAACCTCTTTGCTTAATTATGACAAAAATATTGGCAGAAATGTTCTCATTATGATAGAAACTAATTTCACTAAACCAAACTCGGATCAGATGGGATTTATTCTTTGGAAGCCTCTCCCATAAGAGCGGACATTTCTTCTTGACATAGGGTGAAGGTCAAGGTGCATTCTCTGAAATCAGAAGAGACCTTTAGGTGGGACCCATTGGATAGTGGGTGGTAAAAGATTGAGCCCATACTGATGCCAGCTCTTCAATTGAAGCTAAAATAAAATTTGAATTCCCTATTCCTTCCTGTAAGCAGTCCTAGAATTCTGAGTTGTTTTAAATTGACCAAAGAAAACCCCAAAGCGTCATGGGCTTGTTTACTTCATAAAAGAAGTAATATGAAGTAACTTCATATGACGAAAATACATGAAGGCCAGGGATGGTGGAAAACAAGTGAAAGAATGTTTATAGAACAAAGTTTCTTCAGCATCATTGTTGATAAGGTTACGTTTTTAGTTACACAATGGACATTAAAAATAAACTGTTAAATCTGTGGTACTGAGACTTGTTTGAAACAAGCTGTCAGAGTTTTGATACGAGAAAAGATGTTGACAAGTGCGGATATCAGTGATGGGGTGAGACTGTTTTATCAAAAGATGTTTTTAGTAAACCTAAATCCAGATATCTTTACAAATTTGATGTGTACGTATAAAATACGTATAAATGTAGGATAATTCTCAACGAAATGAGAAGAGAGAGATTTGGGAACACTGGCTACCCTTAACACTAACTAAGCATAACCAATATTTTAAAGAAGGAAGACAAAGATGGATACAACTGTCAACATATTTTTCAACACTCACAAAACATCAATCCTGATACCAGTCAAAATTCTCAACGAAGGAAAAGACCTGAGTTTGGGAATGAAGAAGCCAAGTGTAACCTATCTCGAAGAAAGAGAGGTACACCACAATCAACATGGATTGACACAGGTTAACAAGCCAATACAAAGTTACATTTGTATAGCGCCTTTCATGTTGGGAGAATGTCCCAAGGTGCTGGAACATCTCAAGGTGCTGGAACAAATCGATTTCTCCATCAAATCCTGTATTGATCCGATCAACCCATTGCATTGAACTTTACTAAGGATTAATTTGATGATATGAAACGTATAACTATGATATGTATAACCTTGCTAATCTTTATTAAAAATGTACTAATTGAAGCAAATTGAGAGTTTGTATCAGTTCATACTTCACCGCACGGCCACAAATTTATTCGAACCTTGCACTCCCATACCTTTTGTAATCACACTATAACTGGTAGTAAAGGGCTTTAAAATAGCAGCGCACGACCACAAGAAACATGGGCACTTCACTGTAATCCACAGTGTCTAGTTGCAATTACATTTTGGTGTCAGCCTGGCTCACTTGATAGCACTCTTGCCTCTGGGTCAGAAGGTTGCGGATTCAGGTCCTGTGTTGGGTACATTGACCTCATGGCCTTGGCTGACATTCCAAGGCAGTATTAGGGAGAGCTAAGTTGTTAGAGGTGCCATTCTTTGAATAAAATGTTAGACGAAGGTCCCATCTGCCTATTCACATGGACGTTAAAGACAAGAGAAAAGAGAAAAGAGTTTCACCCAGTGTCCTATTCAACAAAGCTGCTGTTAAATTAATCATTCTTCAGGTTGTTTGTGGGATGTATTGCTGTGCACAAAAATTGTGTGCCATGTTTGCCTACAATTACACAGTCCTTTGAGACATTTCAAAATACTAAGTTATTATATCAAATGCAAAGAATATTATTATCGAGTTTTGGAATAGCAAAAGGCAACATAGCAATATATAAACACAGAGGATTGTATTGTTAAGTGTGATTAAATGCAACAATGAATAAAAAGATAATGAATGATTGTGTTGTCCATAAAAGAACGAAGTTCAAGTTCATCTAGATATGGCCAGATTATGTGAATTGGGAACACACATCAAGTGAATAATACAATTTGTCACACCTGGAAAACAAAACTTGCACCAAGGGTTTTAACAACAAAAAGAAAGGTTTATTTTGATAAGGAAGACATTGCTTATTACAGTCACCTTCTCCAGAGTTTTTTTGAAGCACCCAGTTATATATTGGTGCTTATTCTTTAACCGGTTGCTGGTGTCAATTAGCAAATCTGATTGTAGTTCAGCCTTTGTTAGTTACCTTGATTGAAGCACTTTTTTTTAAAGGAGTCACACACAAAAAATGCTCTCATTTACATATAAGTGGAGCGCCAATAATCAAAGAAGGCAGCGATAGGGTTTATCCCCTATCACACCATTATAAAACTTAACAAAGCTGGAGACTATCCAGTCTGAGGAGCAGTCTGCACCGTGAGTACAGAATTAGGATCTGTATTACAAAAACAAATAAAGAAAGAAGTATCATTTATAATATAGAAGACAGAAATAAAATCTCTTTTATTGCATTATATTTTAAAGTAATGATTCATCCTACACAAGATTCTTAAACTGTCATTGTGAATTCCTCAACTTGATTTAGATAGGTGACAGCAGTAATATGGAAACAAATTGCTACCTATATTTCAGGGTTGTAAGATGTTGTAATACATCAGTCAAAGCTAATACTCTGGCAGAGCTGCACTGCATGGTCTGGCAGTTTGACAGTTTCTGTAATTGTGCTATGATTTGAGTCTGATGCTAACCTGAGGTTTGAATTTTCTTTTTTGGGCATTGTGATATGTTAATCATTACAACAGCTAACATGCAATTGGGAATTCAGAAGCAAATGCATAAATGGCTCAGCACCACTCTTCCATGTACACCTGTCAGCACAGGGTGAACACCGATTGCCCCACGTGCGGCACCTACACAGTCTAGACCACACATTAAATATCCAATGGTGCTATTTGAGTTCCAGTGTTCTTGACAACAATTGCCTAAATAAGATTGGATCTTTGTTTCATGGCTGTTTTTGGGACATTGCTATGCACAAATTGGCTGCTTTGGGATATCCTCCCAATGTGAAAAGTTCTATACCAAATGTGAGGATCACATTATTTTATGATATTGCAACAACAGTAATATATTGAAATATTCAGTGGGTAACTACACTGTGAATTCTAGCAATTGTTAAAGCTTAACTTAGTGGCACTTCTTTCATTTGATTTAAAGTCTTAAATAGAACAATATATACTTGGTTATCTTGTTTATATTTCTCACCAACAGATTTTTTTAAAAAGAATGAGGATTATTTTGTAACAGACTTTGGCAAAATAAATATTTTTAAACCTGATCAGGTATTCTGCTGCAATATGATATTATTTCTGAGCAACTGAATAAGAAACCAGTATAGCTCATGACATTTATAGTTTAAAAATCAATAATTGTCAAGGTTGAAAGAATTAATGTCAGTTAGGGGGGCGAGGGATTGTGCTAGTTCAGTTGCACCCTGATATTCCAGGAGACATATACATCTGCCATAGAACAACTGATGGAATACCACTGTCGTGATCATTTAATATTCCTCTTTTTCAAACCTCTATCTAATTCACTTTTAAGACAATGAATGGACCCTGCCAAATAACAGCTTGTTATTAAATAACAATATTATTATTGTTATTAAATAACAATTATTAAATAAAGCCACTTTTTTAACTTCCTTTTAATTTGCTTTGTGCCCTGTTGCTAATAGTAGCCAAACTGTTCATTTGTGTTAATAGTTTACGCTACTATTTATTATTTTGATGTAAATAGTAAGAGCAGTATTTAAACTCTCTGAGTCTGGGATTAAATATTTAGAATGAGATTGTAAAATAGAAACCAATAACAATGTGTGGGAAAATGTCTTAAAGCATAAAATTTTGGGTTGAAAGTAGCTATACTGTGTCTCTCACTTAGGATATTTTCAATAGAAGGGCAAACATTAACACTAATATAATAGGTTGAATGGCCTACTGTGTATAGATTTCTATGGTTTTTGTGTGCTATCAAACTTCTCCTCTTAAGTTGGAGAAATCTTTTGTCTAACAGTTACTGTCGTGTTATTTTACTGGTCTACAGCCATCATGCATTTCTGATATATTTGCACCAAGGAATTCCCAGGTGATTGATTGTCAACCTCGGCTGGGCCATTGTGGAGGTGCTGATGAGAGTATAGATTTATTTAGAAAGTAAGAAATTTGAATGAAAATTCTGATAAAACCACATTGGTTCATTTCACATTTTTTTAAAAAAAGGTTCATTTTACCTTCACTCACTTTGCAGCAATAGTTCACCAAACTGATCAGGTGAAATTGATGTTCAGTTCATAACCTTCTCCTGTTTCGAGTGAAACGACCTTACTGTTTTTCAGTGAGGTGTAAACTATCTTACTTACGTTGCGTTCACATTGCTGTGCGCAATTGGCTGCCGCGTTCGCCCACAAATATACAGTCAATTCACTTTACAGTGTGTTCTGTGAAGCGCTTTGGGACCACCTCCTGACGTGAAAAGCGCTATATCAAATGCAAGGATTATTATTATTATTATTGTTGCATTTTTTTGGTAAAAGATCAACCAGTCAATGTGTAGCCCAAAATGCATTGCATGTATGAGCAGATGCTAACTTCCAAAGGAATCAAAGTGGTCATTAGACGTGACCTACTTTTTCTTGTAATACTGACTGTGGTAATGTCGCCCCGCATATATTATGATTTATTATTTTAAGCATATTAAAGTGAAAAATTGCCAGTGCACTGGAGTGCAATCAAAAAATGCTTGTGGCAATAGGAAAGCAGAATGTTACATAGCAGGAGCCCTGCCTGGTAATGTCCCTGAACAGCTTGTAAACAAATTGGAAAACATGATTTGCAGTGGGTCTTGCCTTCAGCATGTTCAACGTTTCAGAAGTGAGCTTGTGCCCATTTGTAATTCAGAATAAATGAGATCAGGCCCATCCAGCATTATTAAAGTGAGTCCGGTGAGTAGAAAGGTAGTGCCATGAACTTTAATTACACAGTGCTGAGCAAAGGCCAACTGCATAATAGCCACAATCTCATCCTTTGAGTGCTGAAGGAAGAGTTCAATTCCTGAATAAAAAAAGTACATATTTATTTCAAGCGGTTTGCTAGCTCAAATCTATGGCTCTTTACTGTACCATATATAAAGAAAATTCCACTTTTTATGAGAGTCACTGCTTCCACAGAATTAGGGATAGGTTTAGGGTAAGAGAATAGAGGGGATGGGAGGTAGTGGGTGGAGTCTTGTATGGAGTATGAACACTGACATGGACTGGTTGAGGTGAATAGCCTGTTTCTATGCTGGTCAGTCTATGAAAATCAATGCAAGTTTTATTTTATAATATAATCACAAGAGATGTAATGAAGAAAGCCTTTCGGCACATTTGAGCACATTCTCTAGCATACTGCTCCATTACACCATACTGTTTCTTAAATGAGTTCAGTGATGGCCTCTTCCTGGTAACTTGTTCAGTGGTTGATTACTCCTCTGGGTAAAGTCTGTTCTAAATTTGCTGATACACAACCCTGAATGTGTTATCCTGGGTTTACTTTCTCTATCCCATTAAGAATCTTGTACGCCTCTATAAAATCCCTTCTGAGAAATTTCTTATTAAGACCTAAAAGCCCTAGTTTATCCATTGTTTCTCCTCTTGCTTATAATCAATCTTGAGGGAACAAGGGATCAGCCTTGTTACTCTCCTTCTCACACCCCACATTTAAAATCTATTTAGGATAACTTCAACATAGCAGGAAGACATATTTACCTGAACCCATTACAATGATATAAATATTTGTTTTGATCAATTTTATCTTGTTATTACAAAAGTGAATAAAAGCAATAGAAACATTAACAAAAAGATATTGTGTTTGATTTTC